AAACAAGTGACAAATAGGTACTTTATTGCACTTGAAAATCATTGTTTTAGCATTTTGAATTGATTACCCTCGACTTTTTATTTATGTTATATGCTAGAAACTTGATAATTCTTATTGCTCAAAACTCAAAAGTGCAGTAATAAGGATTCAAACTGAAATCATGAAAATAATATCTATATCTACGTAAGTGTAATGTCTTCGAGAAACCACAAAAGCTTCTATGTTCTTGTAAAATACAAATAGAAGTTTTATGTGTTCCAGATTTATAGATTTACTGAAAGAGCCCCATAAATACGATAGTTAAAATTAATAGGTAGGTGCGTGGGTACGTTACTTTAGTAGAAATTACCCCATATGAATAACGAAGATTCATGGATCCATTGAATTATCCAGTAGATATTAGCGAATGAAAATTCAACTAAAAGTTGCGCTATGGACCTATATTTTGCCTTGAATATAATTATCACCGAGTTTTAGGTATTTGTAGAGTTACCATTACATAGAAGGTGATAGCGAGGTCAGTGAACTACAGACTACTGTAAATAAATGTTTATTCGTTAAATTAATTCGTTTAAGTGGACAAATGTAGCTGTCTGTTTTCCGGACTTAACAGTCGTCTGACACCCACGGAGAGCGCATCTATTTGTGCACCAGACGTGCAATGTTAGATAATGGCATAGGATTAAAGCAATGTGAATAATAACAAGCTTTAAATGAGATGTCCAAATTATTGATTGCGGGATTTGGAAGTCTTCTGTCTTCATAGTGTCTACTTTGGCTGCATTTCAATGTTGTAGAATTCATATTAGAGACATCACCATAACTATCTCTAAAACTATATTTGTAGATGCAATTGGTGACTTGCATTGTTTTGATGTGCGGAGTCATTCAGGGCTTAGCAAGTTTGTATTTTAAATCCAAGGAGATTAGAGATACAAATTCTAAAACAAAAGTTGTTCAGTTTCATGGTCTGAAGTTCTGTACCTGCATCTCTGAGGACTTTGGTTTCTCTAATTACATTCTAAATAGCATGGTTTTATACTTCCACATATGAATATTTATCTGTAACAAATGCTAATGAAATGGCGATGGGATTGGGGGTTGAACTTGACATATTTTAATTGACCGAGTTCTTTCCTAGCTATTAGATAAATGTGTGTGTAATCCTCTGATGGTGAAATACATACTTGTAACTAAAGGACGCTACTACTGCCACTATTACTTTAGAAATTAATGCATTTATGATAAGCTTTTTTTAACAGATATTCATTCTTATTATAGGTAACCAAAAATACCACTCCCATGAGTCATTTCGAAAATCAATTTAGTACAATTAGCAAGAAGAAATTCGTCACTATATCCTATGACTATAGCTGACTTAAAATCACACAGCCAGCGTAGACAGACACATGAGAATAAAATCAGCCGTTACATTATTTCGGGGTTTGACTCAATCATGACGAGTTTCAGTTGCGTAGGATTTTATACCGATGCTTATTTTGACTAAATACTCATAGGTGGGGCATTTGAAATGATTCGTTTGAGACCTGTTAAATAACTCTTCAAGGCCCGAGTGAATAGGTTGTTTAAGGGACGACGTGCTCCATCGTAGACCGCATCATCGCTTACCACCAGGCGAGATAGTGGTCAAATGTTGGCGCATCAAATATAAAAAAAGAAAACTGTTAGTATAGATTGAAATATAAATGGTTGTAGGATGTGATGTTCGAGAAATATCTTGATTTTGCATACGAATGTGAGCCTCCCCCTCATTTCCTGTTTACTTGAACACTTATGTAATTGGTTATTTTAAAAACAATAATATTATTTTGTTTTTAGTGGAGAATCTATAAGTATCTCGTGGTTTGAGTGATATGATTGAGATTGTCAGTCAGTTCACAGAGATTCAGAGCTAATAGCCTGTTAGACATCAGCTATGAGGCAAAGACCCATGACTTCATTCCCTTTGAACATAACATTTATTGGAAATAAGATTTCAGCTTTCTAATTAATCATGTCAAACGAACCATAACAAAATATTAACATCATTTAGTTAAACAGTGATTAGTTTTAAGAATATCTACAAACATCGCCTGACCCAATCACAGATCTTGGCAATCACTCTAAAGACATGTTTTAATAGCTAAACGAACAAATGTGAAATTATGTAAATCACATTCCTCTCGTATCGGATCAATGTCGTTCTAATTGCGTTTGGAAAAGTCAAAGTCGGACATAGCTACGGTAACATACTACCACGCTTGGCATAAATCCACAAGACTATGTAAACAGTGCAGTTTTACCTCAGAAGTTGATTACGTATTTGGCAACCGCCATATCTGTTTTAACGAGCGTCGAAAACCGTAGCAAAGGTAGGTAGGTATATTGTTTTCCGAATTTTCACAGTTGTTCTTTATTACATAACATCACGCCTTTTATCCCCGAAGGGGTAGGCAGAGGTGCACATTATGCCACTGTACAATGTAATGTAACACCCACTTTTCACTATTTTGTTACGAGTCCCATGTAAAAGGGGGTGAGCCTATTGCCATAAACCGGGCACAATTCCAGACTCCGTCCTAATACTGAGAGTTTTTAAAAACCCAGTAATACTTTGACCGACCCGGGAATCGAACCCGAGACCCCTTGCCCGGCAGTCGCACTTGCGACCACTCGGCCAACGAGGCAGTTGTTCTTTATTAGTGCGCGTTAATTGGAGCAAGGATTGATGTGCCATGGTTTTTAAATTTATGCACCGGATTAAAGTTCATTACAGAACAATGATGTTTTGTTTAATGGAATAAAAATTATGTAGTTGCAATACTTACTTAGAGGTAGGTAAATTGCTAAGTTATTCTGTAACTTTCAATTGGAAAGATCGAAGAGTAATTGATCGCAGTCCACCATATCATTGCCTGTGAGAATAATCTCGACTCGACCAATGACGGGCGAGAATGCAATCGAGCTCATTTCGGAAGTTCGAAACAGTTTCAGAAAAGCAGAGCTGATCAGTATAAAACACAACTTTTTCTAAAAGCTTCAACTATTCCGATACAACTTTTCTGACAAACCCACGTTTGATTTTTACAATATTTATATTAGTTCCGCTAGTACAGCTAAACAGTATGTTCGTTTCAATGCGGATCTCTGAAAATACCCATTGTGTTTTGAATCAGATCGCACTTCGAGAAATTCTTCGCTAAATCAATAAGTACCTATATAATTTCAAATGTCAAACACTGAAACATGAATATTTCATCAACTTTTTCAATTTGTGTTTGAAATAACAATCTGTGAGATCATAACGATTTACGTCAAATGGCTTTTAGTTATAAAAAAGCAGTATAGAGTAGAGTCATATTTAAAAAAATCTCGAAAAATCTGTCTAACTACGTTATTTCAACGTAATCGTTACGTAGTTTGTTGAGTGTCTTCATTGCGCACCTCAATAACTGAGTGCTGACGTAAACCATTTTTGTTTATCGCGTCTTAACTGTCTGTTAGCTTAAAAAAATGTTAAAAGAATTTATTTTATGAAAAATACATTCTTTTAACATTTTTTACGCACCTTTTATCCCCGAAGGATTAGGCAGAGGTGCACATTATGCCATTGTACAATGTAACACCCACTTTTCACTATTTATGTTACGAGGCCCATGTTATAGGGGAGCCTTATTAGCCTTAGGGGATTAAGAATCCTCTTAATGATGCATAAAGTCGAATCACCAAATTGTGCTGTGTGTGATGTTGTAGAGGATGTGCAACACATTTTGTATGAGTGTCGACGTATTGAGTCTCAGAGGAATCAGGTTTTTAGTTTTAAGAGCTTTGATATTGGTTTTTATCACAGTGTTTTAACGTCGCCATTGTCATCTGAGGCTAGAAAATTGTATAGTTTAATTATTTTGTGTTTGAGCTTAAGGGCTAGTTAAACCTATAAACGGTTTAGCTGCTTTATTTTTAATATTGAATTTTGTATCCTATAATAGGGCTGACATTTTCCTATACGGAAAAAAGCCCTTCTTATTAAATACAGAATAAAAAAAATTTATTATTAAGAATCTTCGATAAGACGGATTATATCTATACGTAGGTATATGAACCTGTCATAAGACTTTACCTAGGAAGACCTTATATATTTTATCGAGACGAGGTAAACAGCAAGTCTGAATGTAGTGTTCATCTCTAATTAATGAAAAATGGCGAGGCACTTCTCTCAAGTACTATCTTATGAGACCTGTTCCAGTGTAGTCAGTAAAATCTCTTACATTTTAGATCTATCTAGAAATCTTGCACAACTCCAAAGAAGTCAGCTGATTAATTCTAACTGTTTATCATTTTGCGAGCCAACCATCTAATATTATCGTGTTTATAGTTGAAATAGTGTGATTGCCCCCGATATGAGTGTTTGAATTGACAGCACTCATACCGCGGCTCGACGTGGCATCCGAACTATTCTAGTTCTTGGCCGATTGCCTAACTCCCTGCCGGCGCCCGGCTATCTTCACGCCATCAAACAGAGGAGCCTACAGATCAATTGTTGAGGCGGAGTCGGAATCTCACTAATTTAAGAACTAATGTTAAAAGTTTTATATTAGAGAGTTAGAAATAATTGTATTTAATTCATAGACAATGTATTCATCTTCGATCGATTCGATTTCGCAATTAGGTAGATGATATTCTCTACTGATTCACTCTAAACCCAAAGTAATAATAGATGTGTTTCGTTCAAAATTGTGACACTAGTAACGCCATCTCTGGCAAGTTTTCAATTCCTCATCTGAAAATCCAACATGGCGGTCGCTTTTCCGCGACGTTTCGGAAAATGAACGATAGATGTCGTTACCTTTACGAAAGCTTAGGTTTTATTTTACAAGGTAGATGGCGTTTACGGTACTTTGTACAAATTTTCACAGCTCAAAGATAGATGGCAGTTATTCGATAAAATTAAATTGAAGACATCAATAAAGGTACTTGTGAAATATAAAATATGGACTAACCTGGAAGTACTTATTGACCACGGGATCGGTGGCCAGCAGATGCTGTGCTCGTGGCTCGTCGCGGCAGTAGCCGACGTGCTTGTCGAATTCTCGCTCCATTCGTAGAAGTGCTCGTCCGAGCATTTTCGGTTCGCTGGCGTAGTATTTTATCCCCTCTAGTAATACACTGGAAAAATATTGCTAATTAAGATTTATACTATTTTATAATGATCACTGAAGGTGTCGTGTTGTCAGTAGTAGGCACAAGGTTGTTATCCTGCTTTTTGCATTAGGTTACTTTTAAAGCTTTTGCGACTGAGCAGAGTTTTGTGAGTCTACGAATTCCGAAATTATTATGTACTTAGCACTTAAGCGCTAGCATGTCATCTGTAATTAGACCTAGTACATAACTCGTAATTTTAATCTATCCTTTACAGATTTATGTGAGGCCACATTTTAATGAAAGTTACTCACGTATTATGAAACTCGCAGATTTGTCTGAAGTTGGAGAACAGCAGCTCCCGGTTGTCGAAGACTGCTTTGGGCGTAGTGGCCTTGTCGATGGGCTTCATGTACCTCGTCACCACCTGCTGCATGTCGCGTCCGAACTCTTCCTCCGTCTCTACTAACTCTCGTACTACGGCCCTGTAGAAGAAGATTACATTTTAATTTCATGATTTGATCTGTTTATCATCTAATTATTTACGAAAATATCGATACCTATACTGTTTTATTGTTAAAGACATTTCTCGACCTCAGATCGTCCGTAATCAATTCTCTCCAAAATAATTTTTCGAGTAAATAAAAAACCCTAAAAAAATGTGGCGCTGCATTAATGACATAACAAACTTTAAAAAACCAAAATCACCCAACGAAAACTTACTCCAAATCACACCTCATCCAGTAAACTCTCTTAACAGAGTCAACCAGTTTTTTGTAACTATTGGTAAAGACCTGGCTGAAGAGATTATGATTCAAAATAATATGGTTTCTTCTAGTCAGGAGGTTTTAAACACTTCTCACTCCCGTGTAAATTCTTTTGTCCTGCTTGAAACGGATGCAAAGGAGGTGAATGATACACTTATGGCACTTGACTCGGGCAGTGCTTCGGGTTGGAATGGAATTCCTATTAGCTATCTAAAGCTGTCCAGAGACATCATTGTTCCTCTCATCAGTAAACTGACGAATTTGTGTTTTAACAAAGGAATCTTCCCCGATGCCCTAAAGCACTCTCTAGTAACACCAGTACATAAAAGTGGTGATCTAAATGATATTAACAACTATCGACCTATTTCTGTCTTGCCATCTATATCCAAAATTGTAGAAAAAATATTGAACAAGAGACTAGTTGGATACTTAAATAAATATAACATTCTTTCTGATTCTCAATTTGGGTTTAGACGTGGAATTTCAACACTGGATGCTGTAAAAGCTTTGACGACAGAAATTACATGTATAGTGGATTCGGGCCGTAAGTGTATTACGGTGTTCCTCGATCTCAAAAAAGCATTCGACACTGTGTCCGTTCCAATCCTCGTCCAAAGGCTGGAGAATATCGGTGTTCGGGGTGTTGCTCTTTCTCTGTTTGATAGCTACCTAAGCGGTAGGAAGCAGAGAGTAAAAATAAACAATTATCATAGTATGGAGGAGGAAGTAGTTTTTGGTGTGCCACAGGGAAGTGTACTGGGACCGACTCTATTTCTCATTTACATCAACGAACTGTGCAAACTGAAAAGTTGTGGTGGGAAAATATTCTCATACGCTGATGACACAGCTATTGTATACTCTGGCGAAAGTTGGAAACTGGTTCACCAAAATACCGAACACGGCCTATTGGTAGTGGCAAACTGGCTAAAAACTAACCTATTAACCTTGAACTCATCAAAAACAAAATACATCGCTTTTTCTCCCAGCAAAAGAACACAGCCGGACCACAGCTATCGAATCACTCTTCACAAATGCCAATTACATAATACTCAAAAATGTGCATGTCAGAGCATTGAACGGGTCCCCTCAATAAAATATCTAGGGATAATTCTTGATGAGCGCTTGTCATGGCACTTGCATATAGATAGCATCATATCTCGAGTGAGGAAACTAGTTTGGTTATTTAAAACATTACGTTTTGTGATGTCCTCGGAAGTACTGAATAATGTTTATTATGCTTTAGCACAATCAGTAATTATTTATGGTATACCCGTGTGGGGAGGTGCCACTAAAAGTAAACTTATAGAACTAGAAAGAGCTCAGAGGTTAATTATAAAGGTGATGTATTTCAAACCTTATAGATATGCAACTGAAGATCTATATAAGCTTAGTGGTTTGTTAAGTGTAAGGAAATTGTACATTCTGAACGTGACTTTAAATCTGCATAAATCTCTGCCATACAGTAAACCCCAACAAGACAGAAGGCGAGGAGGTATCGTGGTGCACACTTCTAAAGTCCGAACAACTCTTGCTAAGAGACAGTATGTGACGCAGGCATCTTATATCTACAATAAAATAAACGCAAAAATCAAAATTTATCCCAGACTTCTCAGTGAATGTAAGAGGTTATTAACGGAATGGTTAAAAACTTTGTCGTACGAAGACACTGAGAACATTTTGATTAGAATTCAATAACAAACATACAAACACCATACAAACAGATACATACACACATACATACATATACATACATACATTCATACATACATAAACTCACTCACGCATAAACTCACTCACTCACTCACTCACTCACTCACTCTCTTTCTCACACACACACACGCACATCGATTCATACATCTACTCTCACAAAAAAAAAAATACAAATCAATTGCTTTTAACATACCGTTCTACCATAGTTTTTTTTTATATTTGTAACTTTTTTATTTCTTATTTTACTATATCTACTTTGATTTTTGTTGTTTTCCTTTAATTAGCAGATCTCGAGGTTATTATTCTTAAGAGTGTTAAATAAATAAAGAAAGGATCGAGTCAGTCCCAACACAAGTATTGTATAATAACTTACTAGGACTGCCTCAATGTTAGACAGATAGTGTAATTCTTAAGATAATAATAAAGAATTTTGAATTTTTGAATTTGAATTTGAATTTTTCGAGTGGGTTTCCTTTACATTTCTTTTCGTTTTCAAAATGTATTTGCTTTGTTCTATATTAATAACAGTTAACAGAAATAAAACTCTCAAAATAATCCTTTTTAAATATTTTCACATAATTTTTATCAGTAGGAAATATAATTCAAAAATTATCAAAAGATTGTTCAACCTGTGAGAGCCCCACACTAAGCAACTAGCGCTTTCAAGATCAATGGACACATATTTCGATCAGCAGCTTCTCTGGCGATTATGACGTCACACGGAGGGTTTAAATGATAGACATTATAATAAATTAGAGAGTGTTTTCCTAGAGCTTGAGTCAGGCAGAGAGCGCGCTGCCAAGAGATGGCGACGTGGGAGTATCTATATCAGTGAATGGAAAGGTAACACAGGTGTAGGAAGCATATTACTGATTGTTATTTCCTCCTTGATACTATTTTAGTAAAGGACTGTAAGGGAGTGATCTTGCGAATAAGTAACGGATACTAGTGTAGAAGAAAACTGAAATAAAACAATACACAAATCGAAGGAACATAGAAATAAGAATGATCTTAATTGAAAACCAAACAAATCAAACCACACTTTTATATTCAATAGAAAACTGGAACGTTTTGGTTAGTCGAAGAATGTAAACGAGAAATGCATGCAATGCATACAAATGCATTTGCCTATCTACCTATCACCAGATCTTACAACATTACGACAAAGCTGTGAGGCAGCAATCTTCATTCATTCTTATTTTCTAATACACATTTACTTACAACGTTTTCTAACGCATTTTCCAATAAGCAACATTAATCCCAAACATAGACAACCAACTAGTCACGAGTTCAACCATCTATCATTCGAAAGCAGGTCTTAAATCCTGACAAATCAACTGGACAAGTTGTTGGCAGTTTTGACTAAACACCTAACAGTGGTGTGCTGGCACCAGCTGATGCAGGCGGACATCTGGGAATAATTGGACGTGATGATGATGTATTTGGTGTTCAAGCAAATGTGCATTTTCACAATGAATGATTGTCTTACGAGCTGTTTATTGCGCACTTGAGTGCACCCATTCTAATAGTAGCCGTGATTCATGCTAAAGCTGATGGATTTTGGAAAGATGAGCCGTTTGAGAATGACGTAGAGTTTTAGGGTTGTTTTCCAACGTAAACAATGTCAATATATTGGTCAGAAATAAAGCAGAACTGAAAAAAACGGCAAGTAAGTACTCTACGCAGTACCTAAGCTAGTTAAGCTTTAAGAATGATCAAAATAGGGTTACAAATAGTGGCAAGACTTCAATTGAACAATATGTTTATGCAGGTAATTTATCTATAACGGAGGAATTTCCCGAGATACATTATTTACTGTCAAATCTGTACTTATCCCAGTAATCTCAAAGCTTAAGATGTAGCCGTTAAATAATTTAAATGATGGCAATTTGGCTCAGTTTCGATACGTATTTATTGTGGACATGGTTCAGGTGTGTTCGACGAACAGTTACCATTCATCAAATATTAATGATGGCGTTAACGACACCATTTGGTCGGCAGTCATCCAAAATAAATAATGTTAAGGTCAACCATCAGAACATTTGTCAATAACTGTTTTATCTTACACGACAAAAGCTTCTGCGTATATAATCTGTGCTTTATTTGATTAGGTAAAATGGTGTCAATGATATAAAGCATCATTCAAATAATAACGAAACGAAGTAAAAATTTAACATTCAACAATTTAAAAATCAAATTAATTCGATACAGACAATAAAGAACATTACATAAATAAATACATTTCCAATAATTCCAAATACAAAAGGCTCGAATTTAAATTAAAAAGAAAAAGCCGAACGCTTCTTTTTAAAATAAGAAACAAAAGCTTGAGAACTGTCAGTTTGTTGACACAGAAAGCAATATGGCTACAAGGAAAAAAGTAAGCTGCCAAATTATGACGTCGATGATAACTTAATACATTGTCCTGAATAACTTGGAAATTCATGTTCTCTAATTATTTTTAAACATTTATAATTTGACGACGTTTTGGACGCAAATGAAAGGGAGTTTTTATGAGCAGTCGGTTTTAAGAAATGAATATTTTAATATTTTTTTCCGCGTTGATTATATGTTGTTTTGAAATTATTCGTCGTTTCTGACAGTTTATTTCATATGTTTTATAAACATCTTGTAATTTATTTGCTATAAGTTTATCTTGATATAATTCATAGTGATTGTCACTGTTCGTCGTCACATTCCGACCACCGACGTTTAAGTGTGGGAGAACCATGCTTCGGCACGAATGGTCCGGTTCGACCAGAGTGATACAATGGCCGTGAGGCCGACAGAAAACCGACGTGAAGCAACGCTTGCGTTGGTTTCGTCGTGTGAGTGAGGTCACCGGAGGCCCAATTACCGTCCCCTTCCCTAATCTCCCCAATTCCTGAATCACCAACGATCCTCAAACTCCTAATCCCCAAAAGACCGGCAACGCACTTGTAACGCCTCTGGAGTTCCAGGTATCCATGGGCGACGCCGATTGCTTACCATCAGGTGATCCGTCTGCTCGTTTACCGGCTTATGCCATAACAAAAAAAACCTTACCAAAACAATAAGCGATTTTAAGACCCTTTTTTAATTACGTACCTGATTTGTTACAGTTTACTGAGCATACGAGGTTTACAAGCGACTAACGAGACTATTTGCGAGTTAAACTGTCAAATACCAAGCGGTCACCGGTGACCGCAACCTATTGTTCTATAATTGTGTCTACAAAACCGGTACTCGACGAGTTAAGAGCTGTTTTTGCCAAGAAGTAAGTGCTGGAATAAAACGAACTAGAAGTACTTACACGTGGAAATGTGGAGTACATAATAATAGCACCTATCGACATGCATTCGTTTCCTCTTCATCGTTTCCTCTTCATCGTGTACTCACTCACGACCTAATCCCTCTAACTGACAGTGGAAATTCACATCACCTTGTTTTAGCCATGCTTCGGCACGAATGGACCGGCTCGACCGGAGTGATACCACGGCCTCATAGAAAACCGTCAAGAAACAACGCTTGCGTTGCGTTTCATCTTGTGAGAATCCTCAAACTCCTAATCTCCAAAAGCCGGTAACGCACTTGTAACGCCACTGGTATTCCAGGTGTCCATTGACGACGCCGATTGCATACCATCAAGTGAAGCATATGCTCGTTTCCCGGCTCATCTCATAAAAAACCTTCAACGTAAAACGCAAGCGTTGTTTCACGCATAATTTGAAAAATATAAATAATATGATAATTTATTCAAAAAAGAACTGAAAAATACTTATTACCATATTAAGGATTTTTTAAATTAAAATTTACAAGTTCATTGTTTCATATGTTTTAACTTTAGTTGTCTCTTTAATAGTTTTTACAAATTTACAGTGTTCACTTTATCATCTGCATTTGCATTGATATTTATAACGTTACCCACACATGTTTATACAAATAAGTATAATTATCGTTATCTTTAAAAAGAGAGGTGTTATGTTTAATTGTGTTACATTCTAATAAGCTTAGAAAAACAAATTTATAATTATACTTTGTGATAACTACTTTTTCTTACAACAAACAACATCTAGGTACCATTGGATGTTTATAGATATAGACGCGGATTTACTTGAAATATAGAGTTAAGAATTCTTGCAATAAATCTCTCATCAGTTTAGTGAGATAGAGAGAATTATTGCGTACCATTTCAGTTTTGTTTTTACAGTTATAAATATTTTGCTCAAGTCCAAGGTTTTCGGAAGTGTGCAGCGCTATAAACACAACCTTCTATTGTCATGACATTTACCTTGGTAGATACATGAGAGAGGTGTTGATGCATGATATTTTATTAGGACGAATATTTTTGTGGTACATGACGACCTCATCTCATCTATGAATGATGCCAAGTCATGCAACGAATAACGATTGCAACTAAGTTTTGTATCGGATCTACTCGACTGTTTTCTTATACGGAAGTTCGATATTTGTTCGAAACTGAAAGTTTCATGACATTATTATTATTTTACAATAATCATAGGTTCCGGATATTTCTAGTCGTAGTCGTAAAGAAAATAGGTAAGTACTTTGGTCAAAACTGCAGTTAATGTCGGAATCGTTAGTTTGAGAATTATTACAAAAAAAGACTTTGGACTTTGACGTCGACGACATGATAGCGACAAAGACAATCATAAAACGTTAAAACACACTTCAAAGATGTTCGGACACTTGCCATAGTAATCGCCAGATGTGTATCTCCTTTCAAAGTTTCAAACATTTTGATATCCTACCATCGTTTTATGAACACAATGTAATTATAAAGCTTACAACTTGCGTCGATTGAGATCGCATATTTATGGATAGTGACGACTGAAACATTCTATAAGGACCAGTATGAATTTGCGGATATGCAAATGTGCTCAACCACAATAAGAAAACTTACCTACTTACGGGCTACCGTATCTTTGATCACCAGATGACGCAAGTACTGGAAGAGGCTTTTTGCCGAATCACAGCAGCTGCGTAACATTAAACGTTCAACGGTGTGACACTAGCTCATTCGCTATTGGATAAATAACGAGAGGTGCACATTAACGCCAGCTGGTTGGCAAAAATATGGTAGGCCCTATTCTACTGTTCATATACAGACAGATTCAGTAACTAGACTTCATTATTAGCTTAGAATAATTAGATGGAAACCATGCTTTAAACGGTATTGTACGTTATCTTACTGTCTTCTCGCGGCCAGAGCAGTTTGGTCCCTCTCAGCAGTCTGCTTCTCCTTGAGCACGTCGGCGGGCACGTACCCTTGCCGCGTGCGCAGCTCGCCCTCCTGCACGTCCTCTATCACGCGGACTAGCCATCTGGAAACAGGGGAAGATGTTTTGAGTACTTTAGACTTAAGAACATTGGTAATAATAAGGTCGAGTTTTCACCGGCAACAGTACAAGAGAGTGACATGATATACCGAGGATGTATTGAGTACTTTAAAGTATAATCATAAAATAGGCTTTTCATTGACAATTTTTGAAAGTGTGAGCGATACGACTTTGTATCGGTCCACAGCATTTTTTATTCGATGGTAATGTAAAAAGTATAAGGACTGTGGCTAATTTTAACTTCTAAACAATTTGTTACTTAATGAAGTACGAACTTTGTAGAAGGTAAAAGAGAACCAAAACAAAAACGAAATCGAGGAGTACCTGGACAAAAGAATCACTGATTTAGAAATAAATAGTATATCGCGAAGCTTGCGACGAGGTATGTAGATCGTTTCGTAGTTTTTTTTTATATCATAAGCCGATAAACGAGCAGACGGATCATCTGATGGTAAGCATTCGGCGTCGCGCATGGACACCTGGAACACCAGAGGCGTTACAAGTACGTTACCGGCCTTTTGGGGATTAGGAGTTTGAGGATTGATCGTTGGGGATTCAGGAATTGGGAAGATTAGGGAAGGGGAGGGTAATTGGGCCTGTTAGTTACTGGAGACTTACTGTGATTAGCGAACAAAAGTCTTGTACAATATTTATTACGCACTTAGGTGTCCTTGTTTTGAAAAACAATAATTTTATTAGCAAAGCAGCTGGATTATTAGAATAAAATGAGATACCATAGCAATATTCCACCTAGTATGGGTTTCATATTTATTATACTATATAATTTTAACGGTAGCACGGTTTCAAAATAATATTTCCTACGCAGTCGTAGAGCGACACCTGGACTGGAGCGCGGCAACTGACATTTAGACAATGAGTCACTGATTTTAATTTAGATCTAAATATTATTATTGTTGTGCTTTTATTTCTTATGATTGTCAGAACAGGATTAAGTAATCACCAGATTTAATGAAAAAATCGTAACTTTCCAGAATTTAATCCCCATTTTAATATAATTTATGACCAATAAACGTAAAGTCGGTTAACGTAAAAAAGGCAAATATCTTCAGAATTATCGCTGAGCTACCCAAAAAGGCCACGACTCCGTGGGGCATTTTGTTCAAAGTGAATCTCCCCTACGATGAAGACATACTCTTCCCACTTACACTAAACTTTTCTCATGAACTGAATATGCGTCTTATTTCTTCAGTTGATTCAATAATTTTTTCAGCTTTAGAATTTTAACTGTTGGTAATGGCGTTGCATAAACAAGTGCCTTCATGAGACCTCACCTAATATTTAACCGGCATACTACGTTTCCAAGGCGTTGGATTGACCGGGGTATCCATTTCCAAAACAAAATTTGATAAGAGTGTACTTGCTATTTTTCAACGAAAGATATTTCTGCCAGTATACTACGTATTAATACATGTTTATTGATATATTGACAATCGATAAAAACTAAAGCAACTTGAATCAAACCAGTAGTTTTTTGTAGTTAGTTCGAGATTTTTTCATCAAAAATGTTAAATATTTCAGAAACTAGCCACTTTCGGACAAGGGACCTAACGGTTTATTTTGTACCGTTTGTAGGAAATTGATTGTATTATCACCTCCCGAGAAGAATACGTCAATATATATATTTTTGGTAAAAAAACTAATGCTATCAAAGTATTTTCTGGTGGTCATAATATTAACCCATGGGTTATTGAGACATCTCGTTCTAGGTAGATTAATTTATTTTATGTAGCGATCCATACTTAACTTTCGTTGGCTAAGTCTTTACAAAAAAGAAAAGCATGATTTTATTTTATCTAGTAAACGGAAAATTACTAATTAAACTTCGCGGAAGCTGTCAATCAAATCAGATGACGTCACGCGATCGTTGACCTAGGTCGTTAACCGAGTCTAGACTAGATCTAGCTTTGTCTAGAATCTGGATGTTTATAGCCTAAATAGTTGGTGTACCGTAACACAGTGTTATTAGCTGTCTAGCAGTTTGAGTGACACCGACAGCACGGGTCAAAGGACGTTTAAATAAACGAAGACGATTCTTCTTAATGTACCTATTTCTCGGCAAGTTAAAAGTTTAACCCAGAAATGAAGATCAGTTTTTACGACACATTTGCCATTACGACTTTATTACCACTCTAAAACAATAATTCGTAACATTTTCCTACCTTCGTGCTCTTTTATTCTCATGATAAAACGCGAATATTTTAAAGCATCACTTTGTTACATCGAAGTAGGTAACCTTATTCGCTAACCTAACACTAATACATGAATATGTCATCCGGATCATATCTACAGAATCTGTGCCTCATTTGTTTGAATTTTTAAAAAGTTAATTCGAATGATTTATTGTCTATTTCTCGGACTGGCTGGTTGGAAAATTTCAAATCGAGTTTCATTTTTTTTAAAGGAAACTTTTTTCTGCTGTTTTTTGAAACGTGAAAGCTTTTTGCGTAGGCATAAAATATTGAACGGAAACAGATGAATCTAGCATACAGATTCTTATTTCAAGATGAATCTATGCACCCACTGACATTAATTTTGCGATTTCATTTTTTTTTTAAACAGAACCTGCAGTTGAAGCGAAGAGTATTAGATTACATCTGTAGGAATTGTTAAACTTATTTTCACACTGAAGTCGTAAAAATTGTTTTGAACTAATAATTTTCTTAATTTATTTAAACAATAAAACTATGTTCTTTTAAACGGTGCGTCATTAAATTGTATCCGCAATGTTTATGTTCATTAAATACGTGTATAAAACTTTGTTGTGACTAAGCAGTCACAGGCGTAAATGTCATCTCAGTAAGCACTGAGATGACATTTACGCCGATCGTAAATAAAGTATTAAAAAGATCGTATTGTGAAGTTTCAAATTGTAAAAAGTCATTAACGTTTTAAATTAATACAATTGTATTTACCTATCGATTTCCGTAGAAATATTTCGAAACTTAGTAAATAACGTTCAATTTATTAATTAAAACATGTAGTTAGTTCGATTTTTGAAATGAAGCAGTCTAGCAACATGTTCGAAATTCAAAAGTTTGGCCTTAAATTAAAAACAGCTAGGTGCTAAAGATGGAGTAGTTTATATAAAACAAATGAATAAAACAGTACTAATCTGTTACATTTTGAATTATTTCTGATATTTATCAATTTATCTTGGAGGTGGAATATCGCCAAGTCTCAATGTATATCATAATTTTTGTATGAACGTTTCTATGTACTTTAGTAGGTCGTTCATGTTTTGTAGAACACATTTGGACTAAATTATTTGTAATTTAATGAAAATGTTAGCAATAATAGAGTAATAACTGTTAATATTTAATTTAACCCATTTACTTTGAAGAATAAGCCGAGGTGGGCACAAAGGGGTTGCCAAAGATTTATGTAAACCACAATTAATAATTAGGGAGACATCTATAATTTATTTCTTTGTTTAATTTTTTGTAAATTTTGAAAATACCAGGTAATTCGTTGAGCTAAACTAATGGCAGTAACTATAGGTATATTTAAATGCTTAAATAAATTCACATATCAATTCTTTATCTAAAAATAAAAATAAGCATTAAAATGAGAAGTTTCTTATACAGATTAAACTGTCAAACACCAAGCGGTCACCGGTGACCGCAACCTATTGTTCTATAATTGTGTCTACAAAACCGGTACTCGACGAGTTAAACAGCATGACAACCTCGTTAGCCAAGTGGTCGCAAGTGCGACTGCTGGGCAAGGGATCTCGGGTTCGATTCCCGGGTCGGGCAAAGGGTTTTATTGTATAATTATATTCTCTGTAGCAGCACGGAGTGTGGAATTGTGCCCGGTATATGGCAATATGCTCACCCCTATTACATGGGACTCATAACATAAATAGTGGCTTAATGTACATATCTGCCTACCCTTTCGGAGATAAAAGGCGTGATGTTATGTTATTAAACAGCAATAGATCATAATTATTGGTAGAAATGTAGGTTATTGAGATTGGTCATAAAATCCTTGATTACACACGATTCATTGACCTATACCGAGTGACGTCACAGTCCACAAGGTTCCACTGCCGGACGCAATGTTATGATGCGCGCCATTGCCCAACTCTGCGCAGTCGGGTAACGTGTACCGTCAGTATTTCAGGCGCAATGACGTAATGTTGATAGGTGCAGCACTCCTGATCCAAATACTATGACAGATGAGATTTGAAATCAACGAGATCACATTTGATATTCCCGGTCGTGATATGTTGAATTTTAATTAGAAATCTGCTTGAGCTTTGAATAGAGTACCTACTACTCGTACTAGCGTAGAAATTAATGCTATATTTTAAAATAATTATTGGTATTATTAACTAGATTTTTATTACATTACTAACAGAAAGAAAACAATCATCTAGGACTCTCTGATCTTATATATACCTCTAGATATATCTATAAGATAAAAGAAAACCATACCTAGGTTATAAGAGATCTCTTACAACTTAGGTAGGTATGGTTTTGGACTTTGGGTAGAGTGCCCTCTGGCTGAGTGGAGTAACTTATCTGCAAAGTTACAGGCATGTGGCTGCGTGCGGAGAGTTGAAGACCGGCAAGTGGCGGGCTATTGAAGGGGTCTATGCCCAGCAATGGACGGATACGGGCTGTCGATGAATGGAAAAATATGTTAATCATATAATGAATTAACTTAGTAACTCCCACTTGAATTTTATACAGAAAATACAGTAGGTCTGTAATAATTTGGGTAGTTATAAGTGCTGTCCTGGAAAAACATCAAATCTTTTTGTCTCTGCATCACAAAGAGAGAAACAGATTGAGGTAATGTTACTGCTCACCCACTAAGCGTTAATGTGGGACGCAAAGACTGAGAAACTGGAAAACAAATGTTTTATGTGTTAAAAGTTGGAATGTGGTCTAGGGAGACTAGTACATACAGGAGATAAGAGTGATCTTTTATGAATCAGAATATTCTTAAAAAGTTAAAAC